TGGCGTATAGCCTGGATGAAGTACTTGCTACCGTAACGGACCAAGGGCCAGTTAATTATTATCTAGTCGTAAAGCTGTTTAGCGAGAACACTATTTATTGGCGGCTAACGAAGGTTAATTGTTCGAGCCGATGCTGTTAACGACACCGCTCGAACATTTCGTATTGTATTTTTAAATTATATTTTAGTTATTACAATAATTACGAGGAAAGTGTGGGGAATCAGATGCCTCACACATTTTATTTTATACTAAAAATTAAAGACGGAGACACACCTTGCGCTTGATAACATCAGAAATATTATTATGGTTTTGTAGAGATGTTTTCCTAGATATAAAGGTAGACAATCTTAACGTTCATCGACACAGGTAATGTCGTTCCCAAATGTAATGTAATTTGACGGACATAAATTGTAGAAGTAATCGTTATTTAATCGCAATTTAGATAGCATGAACTTCTAATTAAAAGTTTATTAGTAGTTGAGCTTCCGTACGGCTAAATCAAAATGATTAAAAATGATTAATTGATTAAAAATCACCGCTACTCGATTTCGCATCTTCAGACAGAGCTCGCTAAAATTAATTACCTTCAAATATTCACATTGCCAGTATGAGAATGAGTAATGCACTCAAAAAATAACGTTAAACCGACTGGCACAGAGGTCATAACGCCGACCATTCATCATAACAACACTTGTAGACCGCGAACACTACATCATCTTCATTTGTGTATTTTATGAACGTGGTGTCAGATGTAGGTAAAAACTCGCGCTGTCCGAAGAAAGATTCGATCGAATCGATCACAGTCACATGCCTAAAATAATGCTCCATCAAGTGGTGCGCTGTATGTCTCGGCAGGGCTCAGCCACTTCTTATGGAGATGAGAGCACCGCCAGCAACACCCTTACGGCCTCCCGCTGAGCGAGACCTAACTGACGATACATAATCAAATATTTAATTCGTTCGCGATTGTAAAATACTTGTGTAACGTCTGCTGGCGAAAAGGCTTTTTTTATTAAATTGAATTTATTAACAAAAGCTCCAGAGGGTTTAGAGGAAATATCATGAATATCGACAACCAAGAAGTCGTTTTATCGATGCCATAAAGAAAATCGTGGACAGAATTATGCTTGGAACTTTATCAATAACAAAACACTAGCGCATCTTATCAATAAAACAAAGTAAGCCTCCGAGAACCGTATCTTTAGATCGGAAGCAAGCTATCCTCGCAACAAGTCAACGGATTAGAAAGCTCCGAATGTAAGTATGGTCCCGTGGGTATAAATTATTTATGTAAATTTTTTCGAAGCTTCGAAATTATATTTCAGCATCGACGTGATTAATGTTGACAGATTTTTCACTTGGCCTCACAAGTAATAACAACCAAACAAATGAAACTGACCGACTCGACCTAAATTGCTGCTTTTTATTCCTCCTTAAGTTCATTAAAATTTCCCTCGTAACGAAAGAGGATAAGTTGATTTATCTGTGAGCCGATAAAAAGTATGTCATCGTGATATTTATTTTTTTCTGTTATAAAAAAGATAAAAATACTAAACAGGATTGTAGGAAACAATGACAAATCCGGCATAATATTGTTCAGTCACGTAATAAGACAAAATGAATTGCTATTTTTTTCAAGTCATTGTAAATTTCAAAGGTTAGATACGAGGATTTTTAGAGATCCGTACAACATTTTAGACGCACTGTTTAGTTGTTTAATTTTGAGTACAAATGCTTAGATATACTTGGTGTACTTGGTGTTTGCGTAATTATTAAATTATATAGGTAGAAACCTAAAAAGCCTTAACGAATACTAAATAATTAATTAATTCCATTAACGGCTAACAAGTAACCGCTGTGCTGTAGCAGTAGTAGATAGCAGATAAATCTGGCAGATATTTACACTTTCAAAAACCAATCTTCCTTTAAAAACAAAACACAGGTTCTTCCTCTTGTGAAAGATTTAGACAATTAGTAGATACGTGTTGAGAACCATGATGAAATAAAATTATTTTTTTACAAATAACGTGATCCAATGAATCTTATTATGAACAATCCAAAGCAAGTCGGAGGCCCACCGTACTCGAGTGATATTTCCGACAAGGGCCGAGGGGCGCATGCATTTAATGAAATCAAAAGGATTAAAAGCATCTGCCTGCTTGTTATTCAAATCGATTGGGAGCTCGTTTATCATTTTAAATAAGCTACTGCTTAGATAAACCCGGGGCGTGGTTCATGTATAACAAAAGACGCGTTTCTCGGTAGCCCAATTAACTAACCAGTTATTAATGAAAGAGGCTTGTAAACTTTTATATGGACAGAATTTCACTGTAAATTAGTATTCAGTATCAGAAGTTCTTTTTTAAGGATGTCAAACCAGTCATGAGATATGGTAAATATAGTTAGCAAATAGAAACTATAATATTTATGTTGTAATGAAACACTCCATCACAATTTAGATAGGTACACATTACATAATGGCAACATCGTTTAAATTCTCTTGGCGTGTCCAAATTACGAGTGATTCCAAAGCGTTCGAGCAAATGAATATCGAATGCGAACAGCTTCAAGTACAAAGTAACAACCCTAAAGCTGCGCGTTGACGCTTCGTGTTTTCTCAGAGCAAACAATCAAACAGCCAAGAGGATGGAACAAATTACGACAGCATTGTCGAGGTGTTTAGAAAATTGGGGAACAATCGTCCTGCCGAGTTAAATCTCTGATAATGTCTTTGGAGAAGTCGTATGACGGCAAGGGGATGAATAAATCTCTCTTAATTGGAACGCGCCGCGCCGTGCGACAACATAATGTGGACGCTTTGTTGCCGAGCGTGCATTCTTCGTCTTGCCGGACTGAATACACGAATCAACTGAGCTAATGACGATGGGAACTTTTGACAACCAGTCCTGACAAAATCAATGCCCCTCGACCACAATGTATTCGGACCACAAGAGCAATTGACTGTCAGATTGAAAACGTTACAAGACATTTCTGTTAAGGTAAGAAACTGCGTCTACCGCTCCAGAAAATATTCATTGTGAGATTTTTCACTCATAAAATAAGAATATCGGGCGTATGCTAACCCGCGCATTCGTTCTGGGAGCACTCACTTGTAAAACTGCTTACTTTATTGCTCCAACGCTCTGGAAATACGAACTTCGCTTTAGTTGGCCGCACAGTGTTGTGTTCAACTTTACTACTACTACACATCGCTCGTTACATAGAAAATATTCGTTAAACTTGGCCCGGTGACGCATACATTAAAGGGTTGAGAAACCGATCGCCCGATAAGGTCCCAACGCTAGTGAAATACAAACTAGTTTAATTTGAATCGCCCAACCCAAAAAGAGGACAACCTTGTAAAACACAGGATGAGGCTATTGTTAAATATTTTAGTGTCGGTTGGGAAAGTTGATATCGTTTGATTAATCTATTTCCTATTTAAATTAGACACGAAATAGGTTATCGCTTATAATTGTTACAAGATTGTGATTATGTAAACAATAGAAACTTGTTACCGGTGTTAGTAATATTACAAGTATCATTTACATATTATATTAATCAATATGGTATTCATAGACACGTCGTTCACTGGTAATATGTTTTGTTAAACGTCTATCAAAGTAACATTTAAGACGTATATATCTATAATAATGACATAATTTACACGACCTGGACCTGAACTTTCCTGCGAATATGATTCCTTAGTAAAAATGCTTTCTATTTTTGTAAGCCAAGCCACAACGTTACGTGGAGTGATCACAGATAATTATATTATCAGGTGACGAAGTGGATAATCAGGCAGACAAACATAATAATATTAGATAATCATTTAATCGATCTATAATCATTTAATCGATTACAACTTTTACTTTATACCCTAAGAATTACGTGTGATAAGAGGGATTACTTAACTATTTAGGCTTGCAAAATAATGAAAAAAGTGCAGAATGTTCCAGTATCATAGTACCAAATTTACATTATTACTTGACGAATTCAAACTATGCTAGTCGAAGCTATTGCGCTATATATCAATTGAGCAGATATTACACTAATGAAAGAGACAGACACAGTTTCACTGACGTTACTGATGTAACTGATGTTAAAAGAAAAAAGGTAAATAAAAACAAAATCTGGAATGAAATCGCCCGGAACATAAAGCATCCGGTTGGCTATGTTCGTATATCAATTCCTCATGCATACAGCGGCTTCTAGATTGGGAACATCTCTCTAACATGCTTGGACGGGCCGTCGGCAGGGAAAAAACGACCGTCCATCGCGATGCCGCCGGCAAATCGCTCGGCAAACATTAGCTAAGCGCGCGTGAAATTGTCTGTGCAGAACCCGGCGTCCATTCTGCATACATTAGTTTATGGCACCAACTTCCAGCTACTCGTGTTATTTAAAGACGGCATACATGTGCTATACAACAGTTTTTCAGAAAAACACATTGTAAAGAAAAAGATTAGGATTAGTATGAATTAGTATATATTTATTGTTTGTATCAAATACATAACATACTTAAATGTTTTATGTAGTTAAACAAAATGCGTGGTGACTGAGTAAAACACAAGCTATTACAAAACCATATATTCCATAATTTCTATACCTGCATTTCATGCTTCATAAAAAATCTCATAAGCAGCGAGGTTGAGCCCAACGATTCGTTTTTACATTGTGTTTTTATTCAATAACCGCACCATTTAAATGGAGGTCTCCTGTTACTTATACCTTTGTTGTTCTTAAATTGAGTGAAGCTGTGTGTTATAAGTGTTAACAATATTATATTTATGCAAAATTAAAATGACCGCATAGATAAGTAAGTAGAAGCAGTTATTTATCAAACTGTTATCTCAAGTATTAGCCTCCCTTTATCTGCTCAGTAGCTGATATTGAGTACATGAGTCTTTAAAACTAAAATATGGCATCATAATATCAAGGTCAATATAATTTAAGTTTTTACATTCGTCCTTCAAGTGCGTTATCTCTTTATATCCAATTTATAAATGTCGTGATAAGCCTAATCCAGCATCAATTGAATAGGTACAACCAGTCATGGCTCTCGCTTTGTCACTAGCCAAAAATGTGACAAATTCTGCAATATCTTCAGTTTTCACCAGTTTATTTAGAGGCGCAGATGAAGCCTTGCTCCAGAAAGCTTCACTTTCTTCTGAGTTAACACCAGCACTGTCCAAAATATTTGTTTTCACTACACCGGGTGATATGGAGTTTACTCGAACACCTTTAGGAGCCAGTTCCAAGGCTATACTAGTAGTAAAATGCTCCAGAGCTGCAATCGTCGTTTGGTATGCTATACCTTTAAATGCACCTAGCGAACGCATTTCTCCTGTAATGTTTATAATGTTTCCTTTTGTTTCCACTAGGTCATTAGCGACACAGTTAATCAAAAACACAACAGATCTGAGATTAGTTGCCATTACATCGTCAAATAGTTCAACTAAATTAGAATCGAAAATACTAGTTGGCCTGTATATTCCCGCACAGTTGACAACAATATCAATTCTTCCAAATTCAGCTTTAGTGTTAGCTACAGCTTTTTTGATATCTTCTTCTTCACGTAACTCAGCAACTGTTGTGAGTACTTTAGCTCGAATTAACTTTTGGCATAGTGCACCAGTTTTCTTTAAATTCTCTTCATCTTTGTCAACAAGTGACAGTCTTGCCGTATATTTCGCAAACTGTAAACTTACAGCTTGACCGATTCCAGAACCAGCACCAGTCACCAAAACAACTTTATTAAGGAAACTCATTTTAGTTTAAAATCAGTAGATAGTGTTACTCGTTCCGCGATTGCACTGCTACTGAGAAAATGTAATACATACTTAAATTTATCATAATTATCTATGATAATCTTCTGAAGAATGATACTTAATCGATGACTTGTAAATCTATGCAGATAAGAAAATGTGTTATCAATAAGGAAATTATTAAAATACGCAATCCGGTACACGGACAGTTACTAATAAACACAACAATGTACAATAAAAATTTTGAACTATAACTTGATTACAGTACATACATTCAGTATAATGATTAGAAAAAATATTGCATAATTATTATCTTGTTCCATCCTAACAAGAACAACATCTGTCACTCCCAAACATTTGGTTAAGAGAACCAATCATTGACCACTTAAGGTAATAAAATGTTATCGTTTTACTCATCTGCTCTCCTTATTATGTAATCAAAATCGAATCAAATGTTAACCGTCAAACGTCATAAGAGAAATATAAACATTTTAAACGTATTAGCCTGAAGGGCAAACAGGAGGATGATTAGAATCAATACCACAAGTTATAGCCTGTAGTATTTTAAGATTGTAATTACTAGCAATCTAATCTAAAAACCAATCATACTTTCGTTGAATTATATAAACACTTGGAATAATAGAGAACATTTCATCTCACATGCAAAGAAAAACCAGTGTCGTGTGCCGTGCAGGCGACGATATCGTGTTGTTTACTGTGGATCATAAATGTGAAGTCATACCGCATACCGGACCACATAACGTACTCTACACAATGCGCGTTGTACTAATAAATTCGATTATTAAAACTCTAAAAGACACTTAACTTCCCCAACAGTTGATGGGAACCTTGAATACTAAGAACCCTTAAATCACAATAAACGAAAACTTGACAATATTAAAAAAATCCGATTTCGCCGAGGCATTGGTAAAAAATGCCGGCAATCCGTAAAAGGAATTTCTCAGCCAATACCGATCGCTTGTACGAAATCGAGGAGCGTTCCTTTCAATCCTTTGTCGCAGCCATTTGATTAAAGTAAAGGGGCCGCAATCACATGCGAAGAGGTTTTGCGACTGAGGAAGTATCGCGTTTACAAATGGCGCACCGACTGCATTGTGACCGAGAAGCAGCCACCGAACGAAGAAGACTCCTAGTCGAAGGCAATTGAAGCCGGATGCCGGGACCTCGGTGCTCACTTGTTCGCGACACTCGACACCATGCCAAAGTAAATTGAAAACGCCGACATTGATACCTTTAAAGAATAAAAAAGGCGGCCGCTGAACACAATTATAATTCAACTAGGTGATAGGCGGGAAAGGATACACTTTGGATCATAAAGAACTTACTCAAGAAAGTGTCAGGAGTAAAGGTGCTAAAGTGTGGCAAGATCCGCCCATATAATTAACTACAAGAAAGATAGCAACCACCAATCGGCATCTTGGATCCGCGATAATAGAGATATTTATCTTTTATCAGTCAAAAATTGGGCATATTGAGAAAGTTTTTTCTTTTCATTTACTTCACAACTAAACACTTATCGTACAAGCGGTGACAGCGACCATACTGTTGCATTTTATATGATGTGCTTTAAGATAAAAGAGCGATATAAAAGACAATCTTGCATACTTATTAAAACATAAATCGTGATGAACTTGAAAAACCACTTAAAGAGTTACAGTCCATTATACGAAACCCACGCTCACTAAAATCGGAAAAAATATTTCGCGCAAAAAGTCAACAAGACTAAGCGGTAATTCATCGCGGAACAACGTTCGGATCATTAACGAACTGAGGATTTACGATCACGTGCAAGGTGGTTGCGGGCGATGGAGAGCGCTGCGATGAGTTCCATCAGCGATGCAAGTAATTAAATCCTTAAACGAGTGTATAACAAGAATGTGTTTTTAAGCGTCGACGCAGCGAAGCGCTCTCGAAGCCAGCCGCGACACTTATTTACGATGAGTTTTCGCGGCGGGGGATACCGCGCCTAATTTCTCGGCGCGACGCGGTCTCGCGCGATTTATTTAAAATGAAATTCTTTTGTCGTACGCCCCGCTGAGCGACAATCGATAATGTGCCATCGGACCTAGATTGGTACGACCACTGGCCGATTAAGATACAAAACACCTTGCGATTCTTCTTGTTAAGATAATTGTTATAGTTAATGAGCTCCAATGAATAAATAATGTACTTACGATGGATGTTTTAATAGAAAAGACAATTCTAAATTTCGATTAACATTTTAAGAAAGATCGGAGTGCTGGTGCAAGTCATTTGTATTAATTTACCCGAATAATTGAAAATAATACGCCACGCTCTCGACTAAATGGGACTTACGGTAATAAAATTTAGAATAAATGATCCTTTCCTTTCGCAGGCCGTTGTGTAGATGAGTTGACACGTAAATACACTTAAACTGTGTGCCGCCATCACCTCATTTGGGTTCCATATTAAGTATCGTTTCATTTTAATTCGTTATCAAATTTCAATCAACAAGACCTAAATAATTTCTTTTCGTTTTCGTTTTATGACCTACTTGATAAAATGTAGTTGCTTAATATTATTAACATTCATACTTTAAAGTAGAATATATGTATTTAAGAAGCTGTTTATGTGTTATGGCGATTGGTGCAAGTAAAAAAAAAATTTGATTTGTTTAGAAGACACAAGCAATCTAATAAATGGATTTTATTGGCGTGATCTCTTGGTGTTTGGTGCATTTCTTTCTTTTGTAATCCAAAAATAACTTATTATATCTTAACAAGCTTTAGTATAAGAGTCATTAATTATCGAAATCGAAAGCGTCTGTATTATTGTCAGACAAGACGAATTAGTGCTGGTAGACAGACGGGAGTAATTAAAATAACACTAATTTCTCACATGTTTGTGTCGCGTCAACATGGACAGAATTCATTAGTGGGGTGTCATGTGAAATCGTTCGCATCGACTCAATATCCGCAGACGCTGTAGTAATTACCAGCGTGAACCTTACGCGCCACAATCAAAGAGTCAACTGTCAAACTTAATCGATTTACGCGTCAAACCAGCGCCCCGAGGTGTCCGAGTATGTTTAAGCAGATCCATCACTGCTAACGACTGGTAACTTCCTCATTGTGGAAAATTTTCACTCATCGTGACAACAATACCATTGGAGGTGGGCGTAGGGCAATCCTAACCATCATGTGTAGGTTGAACAATACGTTATTGTGAACTCGCGTAGGTTACTTGTATTAACTTTCATAGCGTATCTTAATGACGTATATTTACTCCATTTATTGCTAACAAATTGATAATAGAAGTCAAAGGTGGCATATGATTTTGAATCTTTTTAATGGAACAGGTAGAGACTGATTGAACTGATAGTGATGTATTGAATTACAATTAACATATCACATCTAAGATCGGAGCTGCTTTAAGGTAGCGATAAGGTAGCAGGTGCCTGGGAAATATAAAGACACCTTTTAACGAGATTAAATCCTTCTGTGAATCTTTCGTAAAGGTAAATCTACATCTGTCTTAAAATCAAAGGGTTCAATTCAAACAAAGCTTTTAAAAGTACCTTCAGAAAATTTAAGAGAAACGTATTTTATTCAAAATTCCCTTTTGCTGAGAATAAACGTATAACAGTTACATTTACGAAGAGTAACACAAATAAAAAAAGAGTTCTATGACAAGTTGAACAATACCGTTCAATTCGAGTGCAATCATAGTAAAGGTTTGAAGAAGGTTGGACAAACATTGGTGGAGCGCGCAAAACTATCGATGTTGACCTCCGAGAGGTGTCAAAATGTGGGCCAGGCAATTGACACGTTGCGTCAACCACGCGTGAGAATATTTGAACAAACATCTCCTTAGTTTATTCTAGTACCAGTAATGAATCATTTCGTTAACGGTGAACCTCAACACTTGGGAAAACTTCCAACACGTTTGTAGACACAACAGGCTATCGACCTTTCTTCCATCAATTTACATAATTACTACCATGACATCTATGATATATAGAACAAAACTTATAATCGAAATCAATATGAAAAAGCCAGTTTTGTTTAGTCAGTGATATGTAGCCAAGGCGATATTTCAAACATTGACGTTCTATAAATAACGACAAATGAGAAAGAAATACATCAAGCTGGAAATTATGTTTAACAGAAAGAAACACACATCAGAGAGAATTAGTTATTTGTGAAACATTAACATTTATTCATGTGATTGGGGCTCACTATGTAATTGCTGTGGGAACTTTTGATTTGGCCTAAAACTTCAAGAAGTTTGAATAAATTTTAACGCCAAATACACAATTAATTAGGGAAAACATCAGCTGTTAAAATATCCATTAAATTTGACACAACTGTTATTTTTGACAAGCAATAAAACATTAGATGATTTCCTATTTCAGATTGAATAGGTTCAGAAAATAAAATTCATGAATCAAATACCGGAACACAACCAACGAAATTGAATCTTCAATACAAAAAAGACGTTCACGTTAATCTAAAAATGTTCAAGATATCTTCAGAGTTAGATAAGATCAATTGCATACATTTTTATTAACCCTTCGCTAGCACGGGTTCATATCAGGCGTTAATTTAGGCGCCATAAACATTGTCGAATGTCCAAAGATATAATGAGCCATAAACATAATATAGTGTAGGAGATCGAGCCCCCACATGGCTACCCACCCGTTGGTCGTGTGTAGACTCGTAAATGATCTCCAAGTACGATGTGAGAATAAAAATGAAAGAAGATGGAATATGGTAGATATAACAAGAATGTATGAATCGTAACCAGTTTCCAATTGACAATGACAGTTTTTTAAAGATGAAAAAATCTGATGCATCTTTTGTTATTTGAGTGACATTGTTTACAAGTATGCAGAGGTTTGTTGCCATGGTAACGGAGGTTTACTTAAGTCAACATGGATGATGGTATTATCAACCGCTCGTTAGTGATACGTATCATGTTTCATCCCTTTTCTGTTTACTAAACAAAGATGGTGAGAAGTT